CACATCAAAAACTTATACCCGGAACAATTAGCTGAACAATTTTGGAATTTTCTATCGCGATATTACACATTTTACACTCGTCCGATTCCTAGTTACATAATTTGGAACTATGTGTACTCTAGTAACACATTTTGGAACCATCCGATTCTATTTACGCGTTTCCAACAATCCAATCACTAGTAGCACAATTTTGAGATATCTAAGCTCTGATAAAATATTTTGGAACTACCTGTAACGTCTATTTAAAATATACCCTTCTTTGAGTGGTACCCTTTGAGCCCCCTTCCCCTTGTTGCCATCAAGCATCTCATTCTTTACACGCAAGATAGAAGCACTAATTACTTTCGTATTACGCTACCATAAAAAAAAGCACTCCCAAGAATTTACTGCAGTTGCTTTTAGGAAAATCCATCAAACACATGTATCATTTTTTCTTTATTCACTGTGGATTTTTTTACTTACCGCAAGAGGAACAACTTGAATATCTTGGAAAGGGTAAAAATTTCCGCCAAAACTTCCGTATCTACCGTCTGTTATATACGTGTTAATTCCACACAGAGAGTTCTTTCTTTCTATTAAGAAAATGAAAGAATATCAACAACAACAAGAAAAGAACTTTTATGGACGTAGATAACTAAAACAAATTATGTTACTATTATAGCTTAAGAAATAAGAAAGTAGGAACTTAAAATTTAGAGTAAAAGAACATCAAAATGCGGTGGATAAATTAAAAACGGGTGAATCGGCTTTGGTAGAACATGTGGCAAATTCTACATATGTTATTGACTGGGATAATGTCAAAATACTTAAACAGGTAACGGAAAAAGATGAACTAAACATAAGAGAATCCTTATAAATTGTTAAGAACAAAATGAATATAAATAAAGATTTAAGCCCAGTTGCTATGGGAGTAAACTTCTGGAAATCATTGTTGTAAATGACGTCATTTTAAGAACATGCTAGTTATACATGTACATTAGATTTATAAGAAACTTCATGCGTACTACGTGATTTATTCTTCTTAAGATGGTGGAATTATTTCCACCGAAACATGTAGAGTTTTTTAAAATTTATTTTAACTTATATTTGTTAAACTTTACAAATACATTATTGGGCATGTAAAAACGTTGATGTCTCGTTTTATTAATTTTATTTGAAATATGTTAAATGTATTCGAAAGCTAAAAGACAGGGAAATATTGTTGACAGTATATAAGACTGATAAATGCAATTAAAAACTAAATCATCAAATAAGTAAATACCTATACGTAAGAAAACCAAAAGAACATATATAGAGACAGACATCAAATGATTCAGGGTATTTGGTGTAGTCATGCTTAATAATAAAGTTTTCTATGTAGTATAAATATGTTCTAAACCGACAGGTATAGTTTTCTAGTATTAATTGTACCTAAGCTTTGCTGATTTTTGACCAGAATCACTTTACTGTAGAGATTGAAGGCGGCAGCCACCATATACTGACCAGGTTCAGCAATCACTCTTACTCCACAAGACGGTGGAAAACATTGGTCAAGAGTCTTTCCTATTGATGTAGCGATCTATACAAATCAAATAGATGTTTTTTTAACACTTTGAATATTTGAAATTAAAAAATACCAAAAATATTGATAATGTGAGTTTATTTATGTCTAGTGAATTGTCTATTAATTATGACGTAGATAATTATGTTTTGTTTTTCTACTCAGAGTTGTAGGCCATCTGGTGAATAAGGAGAATAACACTATCTTTATTTTTGTACTCAGGGTTATAGGCCATCCTTTGGAGAAGAAAAATAACACTAAGTTATTAATAACAATACGTTTATTACATTGATTTATCCATTAAGATATAAGTACTTATATTTCAATATACTAAAATAATTGTTGTTGATAGGCTTAACGCTTAGCTAGGGTGAGAAACAACATACAATAACGTACTTCTTTGAAACAATTAAGACTAGTTCTAGAGCCGGGGTATCCACCACCAATGTCTAATAAAGTCATCTTCACTCCCATCTTCGAGACTTCGTCAAACACCCATCTAGCTGTTTTTATTGCTTCTACGTAACATTTGGAATCTTGGAAAGAAAATCCCACATGGAAACTAAAGATGGAAAACCAAAAAACGAAATAATTACTTTTTTCTGTAAATGTTGTTACTGTTTTTAAAC